ATATCAGAAAATATCACGCGCGCGAACCCGTGACGCGTTTACAAACGCAGGCAAAAGGAGGGGAGGGGGAGGGGGTGGGTTCGAAATTCGACGGCGAAATATACACGCGTCACCTGCGCCTCCCGTTAATTTCATTAAAGGTGTGATTCCGTAATTTCCGTATTTTTGATTCGCGTTGAATTTCGCGATTTCCGAGTACATCGTCCGTTTCCCTTCTGCCGCGTATTAATGTATTCCTCCGTGCTTATTTGCATCCCAATTTGAAAAATGTTTTTGGCAATAAAATAAAATAAAATAAAATAAAATAAAATAAAATAAAGAAGAATGAAATTTAAATGAATTGAAAGATACGGAATCGTTGATTATTATTATTATTATTATTTTTTTTTTTTGTTTGAAAATTAATTCAATCTCAATGTTGTGTTTCGTGAATTTTTGTTTTCGTCGATGATCGAAAGGAAGGTGGGAAAATTTTTGGAAAAATTTGATTGAAATTTGAACGGAAAATGGGATGGTATCGAGGAAGTCTTAATTCACCGCGAAATTGAGGAAATTGTATAATCGAATTGTGCCGATTGAAATGAGACGTTCACTGTCGATCGAATCGATCCTGGCACAGCTTTCAATGCATAAACCGTTTTAATGCTTAGTCGGCGCGTAATTATCGCCGATTCCATCAAATAGATCCGTAGGAGACCAATTCTAGGGTACATAACGTCGCTGAAACCATCGACTATCTAATCCAGGATGTTTCCACGTAATCCTGAATTCTGTTAGAGAAACGAACTTGCTCGGTTATCTCAGATCAATCTAACGTTTTGGCGAATCTGTATCCTCTCCATCCAACGTTTCCTTTAAAAAAATAAAAAAGATATCATTCGATTTTTTCCCCTCGATCTTCGCCTAGAGTCTTCCACTCTACCTTTTTTTTAAAATATTCGCACATTCCTTCCGAGAGGGAATGTCGTGCAAATAGATTAATTTATTGAACAATAATACGCATGTCAACGAAATCGATTCATTCTTTTTAACCGAAGTGCATTAAAACGCGATTTAATCTCGCTTCGATTTCATTAATTTCCCCTCAATTTCGACTCTTAATTTCATTCCTCGCCGCGAATCCGCTCATCGTTCTTCTTAAACGTGGCACGTATGTTTCGAGAATCCTCCCAAGGGATGCTGTTAAAGCAAGCGTAGAAGCAAGAAAACCTTCAAACAGAGAGAGAGAAAGAGAAAGAGAGAGAGATCGTATGTGTATACACGTGCAACCGACCGTCTCGGTATATAGAAGCTCGTGGAGCTTTTCAACCAGAGCTTCCACCAATACCGGCGAAAGCTTAATTGGAAACGACTATCCACGGCAGCCTTATACCCTATTCTTAATCTCCCGAATGGGAATTGCCATGAACCGTGGAGCCTGTCCTTTCTGCGATCAGTGGATAACGATGTGGCCGCGCTTTTCGTATCCTCACGAAATCTTAACAAACTGGTTCATGGTGAAGGGTGGAGCTTGTTCGAAGAAGCCATTATACGCCGGTAAAACGTCTTCGAAATTACCGGGGACCCGGTTGAATTATACTAGCTTCCTTATTACACAAATCTCCCCTGGCGGCATTAAGGAAAATTATTCGCCTTCGTGGAATCCTGTACACAAGAGACACGACCAAATATATCTTCCACCAGTAAAATCCATTTTCGCTTCATCGAGTTTAACGTGCAATTTTTAAGTTAAAAAAATATATATATATTTTCGATCGTTTTCAATTTTGAATTCGATGGATTTCTCGATGGAGGNTTTTCGATCGTTTTGAATTTTGAATTCGATGGATTTCTCGATGGAGAATGGCAATGTTTTTAATATAATTTGGCACGTATCTTTTGCGTGAATCCATTTTCAGCTTCTAAAGTTTAACGTGCAATTTTTAGTTAAAAAAGAATTATTTTCGATCGTATTTTCAATTTTGAATTCGATGAATTTCTCGATAGAGGATGGCAATGTTTTTTTAACATAATTTGGCACGTATCTTCTA